CCGCTCAGAGGGTTTGAATTCAAACCCTTTCGGTTCCAACTTATTTATCATACAAATTAACCCATCTGATTCCATGGACAGCATAAATATGTGACAAACGACAGTGTTTATATCATATCCTAACACGCCCTCTAGAATGATAGGGAATTGAATAGTTTGTTGTGAGACAGACACTGACTGACGTGCTGAGGATATGTCAGATAGTGATATAGATTATATTATTTGAGGATAGCTAAACTAGAAAGCTAAACTAGATAGCTAAACTACAATGGACCGTCGCTCATACAGAAGCACGGGAATATGTAACCTACTTGAATTTTAAATAACGTCGTACGGGTTTCACCTCCTCATACAAGGGCACGTTATTCTTAGATACTTGCGAGATGTGAATCATCATTACAGTATAATACTGATCCAGACGGATACTGCCAGAATGTGATCGTCGCCTTACAACCTATTGCTGCCAGTTTGTATATGTTGATGATATTCCATACAGATGATATTCCATACAGATGATATTTCATATCTATATATCTATATATATATATATATATGATGACGAGCGAAACATCATATATTAATATTAAAAAATAAATAAAAAATATAAGTGAGGTACAATAGAAGGCTATGAAAATATAGAGTAAAAAGGTCTGATCTGACAATGAAAATGAATGATGTGATTTTGATTTTTTTTTCTGAGATGAAATACTATCTAGTACAGTAGTAGAAATAAAAATATTCTACATCATATTTTGTACAAATGTACATATTTGACTATTTGTATTGTAGGACATAGCCCTGCCGGGCTGCCCTGGTCGTGTTCTGCGCTATGATTTCCGCGATCAATTCAGAAGGCTATGATTTCCGCTAGATACATGCTTTTCCGCTTGAGTCGCCTGAGACCTCAACCAGATAGGACCATGATTTGAAGGCTATTCTATTTTTTAATATATTGGTAAATTAAACAATTCGTGGCAAATGACGCTATTTTCCGATATGATAAAAGGTACTCTCAGCTATATTTATTTGTTCACTTCTTGTAAGAGGGATATCTCTCCTGCTGCGTGTACCATTTGTTTACCATAAATCACACTCTCAATAAAAATGATAATATTGTTCATTGATATAGACCATCACCAACTCTTTTACAGGAGAACATTATATTCCCGCATACAGCATAATAAATTTTAAAAAATTGTAGTATCTTTGCCTTGCAGATGGGCAACAAATCGCAACAGACATCCCTTTCAAAGTGATACAGCAATATTATGTCAATAAAAAACACTTGTCTACTCCAAGTTTCATTTTTAAAGCCCATCTAGCGACTGTCCACATTCGGACTGACGCATGTATAAATAATACACCATTATCATGTCAATTAAAACACGCTTGTCTCCTGGAAGTTGATTTATTTTTAAAGCCCATCAAGCGGCTATCCACATTCGAACTATCGCATGTACATGTATATATATATATGTAAGTATATATATATATGTGTGTGTGTGTGTGTGCGTGTGTGTATATACGTATATATATATTTATAGAGCAATACCAGATAGTACATACACATCTGTGAGAAGTGGTATATGTTTTAGGTATCCCTAGATTGGAACAACTGCCAAACGATTATATATACATATATAAGTACTTGTATATATATATATATATATTATGTATACATACATCATATACATACACACATATATGATCATATTTATATATTATATAAAAACATATATACGTGTATATATATATATATACATATATTAATATCACATGTATATATATCGCTCTTCTCTTCGATTTATTTTGTTGCTTTCCACCTGGACGAACAGTTTATCTTCTATTTGAATATTATAGCAAACCTCAACAGATTGACTACACTTCTATTGAATATCAAACCTTCAAATAAAAGCACATTGGTTACATCTTGGTTACTATTGAATACCAAACCTTCAAATAAAAGCACATTGGTTATACATATCATTCAAAAACAGTTTCATGCACTTATTCTTTCAGGTTAGCCACATATGCTGCCGGATTGAATACAAGCTAGCCCTCAAGCGCCTATATGGAAGCCAGAAGCCAACATACTTATCAGTTTCAATTTTCTGAACTAAACTATATGATACAAACTAATTATTCAATAGCTATAAAGATCAATATCAACAACTTTTCTTTGCCCCTATACTCACGATGAAGTTGTGCTCAGTCAAAAGATAAAATTGTTTATGCTAATATGATCCGGATTGTAGTCATGACGTAAAAAACAAATATATAAACAGTTACAAGCACAAATTAGTAGAGACGCACTTCTCTCTCAATATAGCGGTTGCAGGTATGTAGTGCGATAATAAGGATGCGCCGATCAGGGAGCAGTACACACTGTCGCCAAAAATATACAACAGACAAATTGAGATTAATTACAATAGTACATCGTTCAGTGATCGAACCTGAACACCATAAATGAAAAGCCGACATATATTTCAGCTCTCAGTTCGAGGCGAAATGCATTTTGCACAACAATAATCAGCTGGATACATAATTATCTATCCAGGCACTCCAATTATCACACCTATATAGTATATCATAGGAAACACGACAGCCATTACATCACATTGGAGAACATCTTTCTCTCAATTTTATCCGAGACAGGCACAAACCTTTCAGCGGATGATCGTGTTGACGACTACAAGCTAGTTCGACTTGTACAAGGCATCAATAATTATATTACAGTTTATTGACGGAAGCAACGACTCAGGCGATTTAATCACCCCTAGGCGCACTTGTTCGAATAGCATGCTACTTCCAATTACTGTACAGGATCAGTTTTATTTTTTAAATTATGTTGAATTTAATCGAAAAGACCTACAGGAGAGTCAAAAACAAGAGTCGGTTAGCTATAAAATAATATAATCAACAGCCTGAACAAAAACGTTCAGCTCAAAACCGTCCGTTAGAAAAAAAACCCGTCTTATTGCGTGACATATACACTTTCCAGCAAATCATCGAACAGCCAAAATTACAAAATGCCATATCCAACTTACCGAAACCCATATCCTCCTCTTCGGACTCTTCCTCAGGCTCAGGCTCGGGCGCCTTGGCCTCAGCGGCACCACCAGCAGCAGCGGGGGCACCACCGGCAGCGGGGGCACCACCACCTCCTCCGCCTAAAAATATAGCAGAAAAACCAGTTTAACATTTGATATTAATAGTGGCAGACACACCGCCGAGCATACAAAATATAAAGTTTTGGTGACAAGCACAAACGTGAACAAAATCCTCATGAGGCACACATTGCAATTGAAATTGAAATTTAGACAAACATGCAGATACAATACTTACTTGGTACGGAAGCGAGCTTCTGGTGTCCAGCAGCTAGGACATCCTCAAGAGACTTGCCCTGATTAGAAATATGAAAAAGTACTCGTGAGAAAGGATGCTGCGATGCTACAAGTAAAGTTAATACTGAAAAATACTTCAATGCACGTGTCATAGTCATACGCTATCCGGCTTTTGATTTACAATAATGTATAATGATGATTAGCATACATTCAGTCGCAATCTATTTCTCAAGATGGATATACTCGAGATCAAGAAACACGCATGCTTGAATCGCGAAGACGCTGTAGACTGCCAAAAAATTACATCTTAGATTACACAGCTGACTGGTAGTCAAGCTATACATATACCTCTTGATCGCTATTCTTGTATTTTGTATACCCTTGTCGAAGAATCGTAGTAAGTTGTACTCAAATCAACTGACTTCAACACAATCCATGCAATAAAAATTGAAAAAGCAAAGAAAATTGCTCAGACAACATATCACAGTTTGCTCAGACAACATATCACAGTCTTCAGGAACCAAGTGTATTGCAAACAACAACACGCACGTTAAAGAGAAACCACTAAAGAACATACATCAAGTTCCTTGAACACTGACGAAAGCTTCGCCTCATCAACATCAACACCGGCAGAGGAAAGAATCTTCTTGATATCATCCTCAGTGACGTTATTGTTGCCTAGAGAGGCTAGAAGGTAGGCGGCTACGTAACGCATATTGAATGGGTATTTCTGTAGAGATGTACGGAGCTCCGTCAATCAACTAATTAAGGTATATAACCGGAAAGAAAGAGGGAGTGGTCATAGCAAGGGGAAATACTTTATACGATGAAGTATACATTCGCGAGTGTCAATTTTTGGTATTATTTTAATCTCACACGCATGTACCCACCTTTTTTTACTAGAAAAAAACACATTTAAAATACACATGTTACAATTTCTCTATGTATTTTATCTAGAATTGTAGGTACTCGAATACGTAAAAAGCGAATAGGCTGTGCCTAGTAGTGTCCCTAAAATCTAAAAACGTACTAAAATAATTGTACGTCTATCTCAAAAAAGGGCAAAGGCTGGCGGGAAAAAAATTACACAAGTATTTACTGTACATACTCTTGTTGTATTCACATAACTCAGCAGTAGTATGTATTTATACATAAAATATTTAAATACCATGAAACATTCAGAACTTCAGAAGTCTATTTTTATTTTTATTTTGTAAATACATACCCGCCTACTTCGTGGGTTGAGGACTTCAGTAGTTCAGAGCTGATTGAAAAGGTTTTTCCAGTCTGGTTTATCTCACAGACTCGCACGACATTTTTTCCTTTCTTTTTATGTTCAATTTAGGCTATGTTTTTTTTTAAACCAAATAAAAAACAAATTGTGTCCTCACAACTACTCAGGGTCAAATAAAACGGGATCAGAAATTTCTGAACAGAATTAGAATCAGAAAGGACAGAAAGTAAATATAATTTTGGTGAATGATTAATCTGTAAAAATAAAAATAATCTGCGGGCAATTTTGGGTGCAATTCGTTTGTGTACATTTTAGAAAATTGAGAGGAATCATGATTTCTGAGTTCACAGCTGGTTGATCCGAACAGTATCGAGATTTTAAAAATAGATTCTCAAGTACTAAAATAGTTTCAGGAATATCCTGTACTAATATTTGTAGTACTAGATATATCACGTGTACTAGACTTATTTATAAGGATAATATTATTTATTTCAAGGAGTTAAGTT